ATTGACTGCTGGAGATCAATGGCACCAGCACCCCTCTCGACCCCACTCAGGATAAGCGTGTTACAAAATGGATGGATGGGTAGAATGCTGGTCTTTTTTGTACAGAACAATTTTTTGGCCTTCTTTCTACATTTATTTACATTTTTAATAACCAACAAAAAAGGATTGGTCTTCTCTTGTATAATACAGATGCTGTATTATTTTAAACTAAATAAGTGTTTTTTCCCAACTGGACTGAGTGTGGTGCAGTAAACTTTCCCTCTGTCTGGCCTCTGAATTTATTTGAATGTTCTCCCAATCAGCATCGAGCACCCAGCTTCATAGGAGGGAAAGGCCCAATCCCAAACCAGCCCTTAAGCACTAACCCTCCATTTGCATGTTCCTGCTGAGGGTCCGCCTCATTAAAGGCAGGGCGAGAGGACCTTTTTAGCCCTTAAAAAGCGAGTCTGCATTAGTACAGGCTCACTGGAATTGGGCAGCGGGTGTAATGACTAACAAGTTGAGGAGGGAACTTGTGCATTAAAGAGTAAGTTCCACTGGTTTGCTGCATCTTCATCACACTACAGAAAATCGCAAGTTTGAAAAATGAAAAAAAAAAAACACGTAATTAATCCTTAAATGGAAGGTCCTCTTTAAATAGTGTTATTTGACTGAATAGATTTATTTTCAAGAAAATGGGAAATGTTTGGTGTTATGTAAACCTGCGCCACAGAGCTACAGCCATGCACATGAGGCGTCACTGTGTTGCCATAGGTGCGACTTGCTCCTATGGCAGGGAAGGGGGTTTTTCATTAATGGTTCTACCCCCATATACAATGCAGGCACCTTCCACTGGTGTGCGTGTCTGTGACTTTATTGCGGATGACACTTGAGAGTTGAGGGTTAATGTTTAGGAAGCAGAGTGGGATTTAGCTTTAGCCTCACTGGAAGTGACAGATTTTTGCAGCAGGGCCAAGCTCCACTTTCCAGAGGCAGCTGGAGAATACTGCCACTTGTCACTACAGCTGTGTCCGAACATCCACCCTAACTACTATATAGGGCACTCTATAGGGTTACACCATTTTAAATGAGTGTCCGATATCTAGTGGATGAAAAAGTAGTGGACTCGAAATTTCCCACAATGCACCTTAAAAGTAATGATCATCCATGGTCACTGGAAAAGCAGATACATCCCAGATTGCTTTGCTTTGTGAGAGCTCTCTTTGGGAAACATCATGGGATTTGTTGTGACAGCAGCCCACTGTCGGGTAGTGACAGCAACAAAAGACAAAGAAGGCTCATACCCCGTGAGCAGAGGTGGAGTCACGTGACCAACAGGGGGCAAAACATTGTGATCATCTATCCGACCAGTCAGTTAACTGGGTTCACTGTAAAGTCCACTATATAGTCCATGCTCTATATAGTTATGGAGGGATTTAGCGGTTAGGGCGTAAGTTCAGATACAGCCTACCTGATCCCTACCAGTAGCATGATCCCTACCATCAGCTCATTTGCGCATGCGCAACCCGATATACATTCGGGTAGCCCTCGAATTTACTTTAAAATAGAGACCAAAACTAATGTCTCCCTAAAATAACATGCATGCTAAACTACACTATGTATAAGGTTAATAAGCTCATCAATAGAATGCCAAGAGAGTGCTTTCAGTGTGAATCTTCAATTTTCATAGTCATGAAGATAAAGAAACTCTTTGAATGAGAAGGTGTGTCCTAACATTTGGTCTGTACTATGTCCTAATAGCATAAGGTGACCAGATTTCTAAAATCCAATATGGGGACATTTCCAGCTTGTAGATAAAGATATCAAAATTGAATAAGAAAAGTGGGACAGTGATGCTTTTATCTAGTTTTACATATTTATTCATCTAAAAAAAAAATCAAGCGTAAAATCTAGGAATGTGCCTCTCCATACAATAAGTATTTCCTAAGATTAATAAAATGAATTAATCAATCAATAGTGTATATTAGTGCCTTTTGGTCATTCAGTCTTCTCTGTCATCTCCCCTCTCCATCTTCTTTTCTCTCTAGCTCTCTTCTGACTTCTGCCTGCTCTCTGTTTATCTCTGCCTTCCATTGAACCAATCTTTCCATCAGTGTTGCTTTGTTCCTCTGCTATCATTCAATCTTCTTTCAGTCTTCTAATCTTCCTCTCCTATCAATCTTACAATATATCTAAAACAGAGACGTACCATAATAAAAAATCAATTCCAAACACATTAGTATTTACATGAAAATAGTTAAAATAATATTCTTGTTTTGCACACCTGTTGGAAAGTTGGTAATTTTAGATGAGATACTGGGGTTATTCAGGTGTAGCAAAATCATCTTTGACCCGTCATACATTTTGACCCAAGGAGAGCTACATGTATCTCACAATATACTTCTTTAGGTTCAGATATGAATCCAGTGAAGTGATGGTTAGTATAGATAGGGGACTTGTGAGGAAAATCCATTACAGCAGACGCTTTGGTCCCAGTATACGACGGGTCACAGACTTTGTAACACCGATATAATCTCATCATAAATATTATCCATTTATTATCCTAAATTAGATACCCCTAATTGAGCTCATTAGCTGCATAAAGACAACTGTCCACCCCACACAATCTGTAAGAACCTAACTAACATGCCCAAGACCGAAGAGCAGTCCAAAGACATTAGAGACAAAAATTGTAAACCTCCACAAGGCTGGAAAGGGCTACAGGGAAATTACCAAGCAGCTTGGTGAATAAAGGTCCTCTATTGGAGAAATTGTTAGAAAATGGAAGAGGCTAAACATGACTGTCAATCTCCCTCGGACTGGGACTCCTTGCAAGATCTCAACTGGTGGGTCTCAATGGTCCTGAGAAATCATCCCAGAACAACACGGGAGGAGCTGGTCAATGTCCTGGAAAGAGCTGTGACCACGTTTCCAATGTTACTGTTGGTAATAAACTAAGATGTCATGGTTTAAAACCATGTAGGTACACAGAAGGTTCCCTGCTTAAACCAGCACATGTCAAGGCCAGTCTTAAGTTTGCCAACGACCATTTGTATGATCCAGAGTCCAAAGTCATGTGGTCAGATGAGAACAAATAGAACTTTTTGCCCATAATGGGGCGACAGTGGCGTTGGATGTAGGAGTTTGCCCTGAAATCGAAGGATTGACGGTTCAAGCCCCTACTCCGACTTTCAGTGTCGTTGTGTCCTTGGGCAAGACACTTCACCTGCATTGTCTACTGATGGTGGTCAGAGGGCCCGGTGGCGCCAGTGTACGGCAGCCCCGCATCTGTCAGTGAGCCCCAGGGCAGCTGTGGCTACAATGTAGCTTGCCACCATCAGTGTGTGAGTGTGTGCGTGAATGGGTGAATGAATGTAATGTAAAGCGCTTTGATCAAGTCTCCTGACTTGAATAAAGGCGCTATATAAGTACATGCCATTTACCATTCATAATTCCACTAACCATCTTCGGAGGAAGAAGAATGATCAGTACATCCCAAGAACACTATCCATACTGTGACGCATGGGGGTGGTAACATCATGCATTGGGGTGTTTTTCTGCACATGGGACAGGGCGACTGCACTGTATTAAGGAGAGTATGACCAGATTTTGTTGAACAACCTCCTTAGTCATTCAGTCATTGAAGATTGGTCAAAGCTGGGTCTCCCAATATGACAATGACCCGAAGCACACAGCCAGGATAACCAAGGAGTGGCTCTGAAAGAAGGAGATTATGGTTCTGACATGGCCTAGCCAGTCTCCAGACCTAAACCCAATAGAGAATCTTTGGAGGGAGCTCAAACTTCGTGTTTCTCAGTGACAGCCCAGAAACCTGACTGATCTAGAGAAAATCTGTGTGGAGGAGTGGGCCAAAATCCCTCCATCCCCCGGTGTGTATATATATATATATATATATATATATATATATATATATATATATATATATATATATATATATATATATATATATATATATATATATATATAGAAAAATGTTTTCTCACCCCTCGTGGGGATGCAGTGCACATCAGTATATATATATACTGATGTGCACTGCATCTCTCTATATATATTTATACACACTGATGTTTTTTCCCACAAAATTGTTATTGCATATTTTTCTTTTCTGAGGCTCATTTAGCGCCACCTGGCGGTCCCCACCTGTATTAACTCACCTAGAAGCTGTGAGGTACTAATATGGAGTTGAGCAGTTTACATTTGATTTTTATTCACTAGAGGGCAGCAGAGGCCTTCAATGAGAATATATTTTCTATTTTCTTCTTCTTTCTTTTTTTTTTAACCAATGTTTTTGCTAAGGGATGACATAAGGGGATTTTAGTGTGATCGAATGAAAGGGGGTATGAACAAAACTACGATTAATGGTTACTAATAGGAATTAACTTAAAGCATGAACATAGAATTAAGGTTTCCTTCTGGCTATATTATTATTTGAAAAACTGCTTGTCATTGGTCTTCCATTCCATTTCCATGTTTACACTCTGGAAATCCTTCAGGGTCTCAGCTCAGTTTAGATTCTGCAAAATCATATCCTGTCCAAAATGCTTATATTAGAGGTGATACTGTGGAATCATAGCCTGAATGATTACGTCTCTGTTTGTGTGGAGACTAAAAGTCCCTGTTGGTGATCAGTGACCTTAAAGCATCAAATTCACTCTGTTTGAGAGCAGCTCTGCTCATATGACCTTTACTTGAATCAAATTGCAGGCCTTATGTCGAGTCAAGATGTTATTTAAGCGACAATTATTTTCTCACTTGATTTATCAACCAATAACTTAATATATCTTCATGTTTACATTTTTACATCCATAATCATCTTGCTGCAAAGTTCTAACAATGAGAGAATGTGTTTAATGTACCTGTCTGATTGTGTAAATGTTAGTGATGTGATGGATTAGTGAAGATGTTGATGAATAAACAGCCACAACTGGGAGCCAATCAGCTGCCAGAGCACCAGGGCATCTCTTTCTTAATTGGCTGGATTTTCTTGTGGTTTTCATCAGAGTGAGCTGGGGGCGACGCGGTGAGAAATACACAGAGAGGAGAGGAAGGGTTATCTAGACAAGAAGCAAATGTGTGTGGGTGTGTGTGTGTGTTTGAAGCAGACAGTAATTACCTTCCAGCTTTTGAACCAATCAAGAGCTGTGGAGAGAGAGAGGGATACGGAGGGATAACCCCCATTTAGATTTCCCAGTCTATTCCCGGGCAGAGACGCACACAGAGCTTTTATTCAATCAGAGTCAGGGAGGAGGAAGGCAAGTGTTTCTGTAGCGGAGCAAAACTGATCCTTTCTGCTGTTTACCGACTCGTGGAGCGTGAAGACAGATGGACAAGATGAACCACAGCTCAGCTGAGGCAGAGCCTGAAACCATAGAACCGCTGCGTTACCTCAGGTAGGTACCTATTCTATTCTATTCTATTCTATTCTATTCTATTCTATTCTATTCTATTCTATTCTATTCTATTCTATTCTATTCTATTCTATTCTATTCCCACTTTGATGTTCCTCCCAGTCTTGAGCTGTTCCAGTTCCTTCCATGCTGAGCTACAGTTGCCCTTCCAATGACTGCTCACTTCTGTGTGGAGACAGAGAGTGGCAGGCAGATGGAGGCAGGGAAGGATTTCTACATCTTCCTACAGATGTTGTGTCAACCTAACAGATTAAATGTATGTTAGTCTTGCAAAGAAAAGAAAGGGGGGTTCTAATGATTGAAGGATGCTTATAATGGCTCCAGGAAACTTCTTCCAGCCTCCATCTTTACTTTTTTTCTCCCCCTTTCTCTCTGTCCTTCCACTTAAACAAATTAAATTACCGGTCTGATCCATGATTAGATTACGCTGTACGTTGGTTATTTGGCTCCATTACTTCACATATTACAGGCAAAGCATCTTGTGATTCAGTGTTATTCTGGGATTTGATGGGAAGACTTTGGAGGCTTGTGGAGGGGTGGTTGCTCCTCTGGTGGCTTGTTGCTTTCAGGGAAAATTTATGGTGCTAAGTTTTTTATTTCAAAAACATGTTGACATGAATTTATTCTGTTTAGGATGGAACTGAAAATTTTGGAAAATTTCTGTAAGGGAAAATCAAAACTAGCAACCAAAACAACCCTAAAATCCAAAAGTGGTAAACATTTCAATTTTAATAATCCATGTGTGTTTAATAGGATTCTGTATGAAGTAGAAGCAGATCAACTTGGCGACTGTTGAAAAATATGTATTTCGTTCATAGGATGTTATAAAAAGATGCCCTTATCATAATTGCATAAAAAGTTCATTAAATGAAACAGACCTTCACTGATCAGACCTTTACCAATCAAGAGTTTTCCTCCAGGCTTTGGATGGATGCGACGATTTCCCCCGAAGGACAAAGAGTTGTTATTAGAGGTAGTCGTCTTTTATGGAACACATCCAATAACTGATCAATAAAGGAATAATTTCAACTTTGTTGGTTCATATCTTTTGAATAAATGTTGAACAGGCAGATGGAGTTACGTTGTTTGGGAATCAGATGTATAATAAGGTCCATAATGAAATGTCTTGTTTGCATTGAATTTCAAATAAATTCAATTCAGTTTACTTATATAGGGCCAATTCACAACACATGCCATCTCAAGGCACCTTACAGAGACAATTCAACCAGATCATACTGTCAGATTGGTTCATAGGTTACCATCTAAGGAGAACCAGGTGATTTCTTCGACTCACTGACTCTTCAGGAATCCCTTATATCAAGAAAGCTTGTAGCGACAGTGGAAAGGAAAACTCCCCTTGAACAGGAAGTAACCTCCATCAGAACCAGGCTGAGTGTGTGTGCCATTTACCGAGGCCGACTGGGGTTAAAGCAGACAGAAACAGACACACATACAAGAAGCGGGACTCTCTAGGGATGGTAGCAGAGACAAGGACACTTAACAAACTGCTGGACACTATGAACAATGCCAGCCACCCTCTGCATACTGTCTTCACAATTCAGATGAGCCTGATTAGTGGGAGATTGATTCTCTCCAAATGCAGGAGAGAATCCTCCTACTTAGGGGTAGGAGGAGGTGGTAGGAAGAGGGGAAAGGGTAAGCACCCCCCTCCTTGGACATCTTATGCCAAACATTACCTATTGTCACTCATGTGCAATATTTTACTCTCTTACTGTGCAATAACACCTGCCAAATACTGTGTAGCTTGTGTAATCTTTTATTTATTTTAAAAAGGTCAGTACATCTCTGCAGTAGAAGTGCAATTATCTAAGTCAACTACTGTGTAGTCTTCCCTTAGCTTCTCTACTGTTCCAATATTTTTATACCTAAGGGAAACATATTCCAGGACTTTACAACTTATCTTATTTAATGAGATATAATTTTTGCTGTTATATATTGTTTACAAACACATGCCCTACTAGCTATGTAATTGACCAATTAATGAAAGAGTGATTCGAGCTCTAATCATGGTCCAACAGTTAATTCTGCACATAAATAGAATAAATTCACCACAACTTCTGTTCAAAATATAAGATTTTATTAACAAAAACATTCAGCTCCAAGTCAAACATATTTCAGTTTAAAACTCTTAACTAAAACTAGTGAAACTCAACTTAACTGAACCTCTATGTAGAAAGAGGAAGGGAAAACATAGTTGGAAACCATATTACAGTTTAAGATGGATCTTGTGTTTGGACACCAAAGTTTATATGGAAGAATTTGGGATATGGTCAAATTAGCTTTTAACTAATTTAGAGAAACTGGAAAGTTTTCAGACCAATTCACAATGCAAATCCATGAGGTGAATAAAACATTATTTGGCCAAATAATGTTTTATTAAATAATTAGCTTAATCAGGAACCAGTAACCTTTAGTTAAAATGAATAATCGAAATGTAATGAGCAAATGAGGAACAAATGAACACCAATGTTATATCCGTGTTTAAACCCTTAGTGAAACAAAGCTCATCCAAGCTTCAACAACGGCTCAAAACATATTACTATAGCATAGCATAGTATGTAGTCAATCCTGTTAGCTTTGTCTTTACCCATCAGTAAACACATGAAATGTATTGTTTGTTCTGTTCCTAATTGTGCCAGACCTGCAAACGTTTTGTCTATGTCCATTTGGAAGGTTGAGTTTCATCTAGCAGCAGCTTAGCAGTCAGGCTAACAGCAACCAGGGGTTTCTTTGTCTCAGAAGCTCGCACCAGGGATCCTTAGAGGGCCTTTTCATCCAGTCTGGCTCTATAAGTTCTAAAACTCAAGAGAAATGTGTTGCAAAAAGTCAGCTTCATGGGAAGGAGAAAATAGCAAAAATCCTGTGTGTTCTGTGGTTTTCACTGTCCTCACACAGAGGGGGCTGGGAGGTCACACCTCTGTGGGAGGTCCTGTGGAGGCATTGGCATAAAAGGGTGGGGGTGTGGGGTCTTACAGCTGTTTATTCACCAAAACTGTATTTTCTTCTCCGGTCATCATGTCAAGATGAAATATGGGCACTGGTTCTTGATGTCCAAAAGCCATGATCATGGCATATGGCACAACGGAGCCTAGCTTTAGAGATTGAAATAACAAATATTGCAGAATGGGAGAGTAGAGTTGGAATGATGAGGGATCCCTATGTCCTCCAGCAGTCTATATCAGCACAAATCCAGAAAATAGCTCAGGATAACCTATTTTTTTTCTATGTATAAGAAAGATAGAGCCAGGGAGAAACAATCCTTGGTTGTTTGCTTTTAAGCTGAATCATTGCCTCTGATATCAGAGTTTAAGGAACTAGTGGATAATGGAAAACTGGGCTTCAGATAAGTCAGCAGGTTTTACAGCACAAAAAGGACCTGAGATCACAAAGAACATCAGAAGATTTTTTTTTAAATGAATCTGTTTTGTGCACGACATAGAGCTTGGATGTTATTTGATGTCAGTGCTATTTTTAGGTTTAAATTTGCAGCTGGTTTATTTCATGGTTGTTGTTTTTTCTGTATTTCAACTGTATTTACAATTCAGACTGAAAATATCTTTTTGAATGTGAAAACTGCCTTAAATTGATTGTGTAAACAGAGCATCTAGTACAGAATGCAGAAATGACAGAGAGTTGGGTTGGTTTGTTCATGCTTAAGATTTTATCATCTATCCAAAACAGACAGACATAGAAACAGTTAAAAATATTTTCAAGCTTATTTGCCCAGAGCCAGTTACTAAAATAAAAGCTCTTTGGAAATATCAAAGGAAACAATGACGAGCTGTAGATTGGAAAAAGTGTGGCTTATTAAATGGTTCATTTCACTGATTGAGATGATGGTTTTCTACAGTTTTCTGTGGGCAGCTATTTCATTTCAGAAAAGGTTAAAGGAAATTTGACCTAAGGGTTTTTATCTTGTAAGGTATGTCACTGTGATGCAATGGTTCAAGTCCACTCATTAACTGTATTTTAGGAAAAAAAAAAAAAGCTTCCAAAAATTTCCAGAAAATATAATTTTTTTTTACATATTCGGACTGTGTTTTTGTCAACACCACATTTTAGCATATTTTCTGGGTCAGACTGTCTTAGGCTGACACAAGAAAAGAGGTTTGGTTTTAAATACTGTAGAAAGATAAAAAATCTGTAAAGTTTTCTCCCTGTTTACTTGATACACCACTGAAAGTGACGGGCACAGAAAGGGCAGCCTTTTTCAGAGCAGCAGCCAAGAGGCCCAGAAGAGCTTCAGAGGAGCTCCAGAGATCTACATATCAGGTGGAAGAAAGCAGCGTCAGAGTGGAAGAAAGCCAAGAAGAGCCTGTTGATAATTTGCATCCAGCCGTACAGCAGTGAGAAAAGGCTGCTCTTGCCAGATGGGCTCAAAGTTCATGTCTTTAACAGATTTATTTTGGCAAACAGCTGGATCAGAGTCATTGATAAAGTTAATTGTCATTGATTTAATTGAAGAGGAAGATCTTGGGTTTTTATTATTTTTTACTGAGAATGTTATAACAAAAAGAAAGACAACAGACTTCCAAAGTAAACATCAAAAAGCTTTCAGAGCAGCGCTTATCCTGATTCCACGATATTCATTAGGGTGGTATATATCTGTAGCTGCAGCTTAGTAGTAGTGTTTATCCGTGAACAACTGGAACCAAACTCATGAACATGCTTGTGTATAAAGGATCCTTCTTCAGAAGGAAAGTATGCTTAATAGCAGGTGTGGGCAGCCTCAGACTCGCCCCGGACAGAAAAAAGAGTGACGCCAGCCCTATTATCCAGATGCATCTGAGACCCTTGGGACACAAGGAGAGCAGACATAGGAATGGCTGCACCCATCAAAGAAGGGGAGACAAGAGCAGCTGGAGTCTGATCCCCAAGTGGCCCAATCCTAGGGGTGACCAGTCCCCGAAGGGCCCGACCCTGGTGGCCATAGTGCCAGGTTCCCAAGGGGCTTTAGAAGTGATCCTATGGGTTCCACCGTCAGCCAGCCACTTGTGGACGAACCACCCACTAGTGGGGCGCCCACACGGCCAAGAGGCCCAGGCCTGGCCCAGCAGGCACCAGAATGAGACAGCGCCCGCTAAAGTACTCAAACCCTCACAGGCGGGAAGCATAAAATAAAAGGGGGGGAGGCAGGCCCTGCTCACAGTTGAGACTTGGATGTTCAGTGGGGGTAATTGTAATCTTTACAGTCATGCCTTAATTAATGAATGTTTTTTTTTTTTTTTTTTTTTTTTTACAAAATGTGAATATTAAAAAAGCTGATTCTGTGAAAACGAAATTCCTCCCATGCTGGGATCAGATTATAAACTGCTATTGTTATAACAAAATGCAATGTATATATTCATGTGGTAAGTGTAAGTGAGGATTTGAGAAGAGTAATTAGATGACTCCTCTCTTTCCCACTTCTAGCTGAGAGAACCTGGTTATGATGAAGCTCAATGAATGACCTAATGTATGTGCCAGAGGCTAACATGAAGTGAGAAGCAAAGGGACAATCCCAGCATTTTATCCGTATGACATCTGTAATATAAAAAAGATCAATTTTGACTCTTAGCAAGACTCACTTCTCAGAATACAATATAAAAAAAAAATAAAATGGAGAGCAGAGATCCAGAAACAGAAGGGTTGCATGCATCAGAGGATTCAAATAATTCGTTGAAATGTGGAATAAAACACTCCAGAAGAAGCAGAGTCATCGCTCTGGCGCTTCTACTGATGCGATGCTGCAGGCAGCGAGACCTGAAAGTGTTGGCAGCTGATGATGAATCGACCTTAGATCTTGATCAACAGCTTCCTCCTGCAGGTAGCTTCGAATGAGAGCAAACGGGATGGCTGTGAATGTTTGTTTTTATAAAAGGAACAGAGGCATAGAAGATAAAAGAAAAAAAACGTTGTTCCAGGAATCTTAATTAGATACAACGTCTTGCATTTTTTTGATTATTTGAATCCATTAATCTTTATTCACAGCTTATTTATTGTGCATTCTTAAATTAATGCTTGAATGATAAAATAACCTAATCAGCAGGCTTTGAAATAGCAGCTGATTTTTATTAGCAACTTTTCTCCTTTAACTTTATCTCTTGTATGAATAATTTTTTGCTCTATTGTCTTTTTCTGCTGCCCATTTATCCCCCCCCCCCAGCCTCCTAGCAGCGCTTCTCCAGCTGGCAGCTTCATCTGCTTCTGTGACAGCCTCTGTATTTATTTATAGTCCAAATGTAATGACTGGGGCACAGAGGTGGAGATTCAGGGATGAAGAACCGAGGACAGTTGTGATCTGCAACCGGTGAGATGTTTGCTCATCACTTCTCCTCTTCCATTAAAGTCAGATTAGCTCTAAAAACAACTTTTATGTGAATTGATGTCGTTCCAAAGATAAACAGGATGGTGGGGGTGGGGTGGGGGGGGTGTCAGGCTGGCAGACAGGCCTGGACTGAGAGACAGCTGAGCTTCACTCTCAGTATATCTCCAGTAAACTTTTAGTTTCATTGTACTTTAGATCAGTGGCGGCTGGGCAATAGAGGGTAAAGATGGAGACGGTACACTCGGTCTCTTTCCAATCCCTGGTTTAGCTACAAGGATTGGCTAACTGCATGCAGTGAGGCTAACACTTTATTCGGCTTTCCCTGCCTCCTTCCTTTTTAGAAAAGGCAAAGAAGCAAGAACAATCTGGGATTAACATGAAAAATAATATAATTCATTTTATTTTTTCTAGGTTAATTTGCATAGCTTAAATAAACACATTCTCAGAAGACAAATAGTTTTTAATATATTAAATAATATATAAATTTGACTAATGGCTTCTCTATTATTAAACTGGTACGTTATTTGTTTAGGTTTGTGGCACAATTTTGCAAAACACAGATTTGCCTTCACAAAGCCTCAGAAGGGCAAGATAAAAAAAAAAAAAAAAAAAAAAACCTCTACATGAAATTATGTTTTGTTTTTATGAAGTGTTTTGCATTTTTTTTCTTTTGTTGCTGTTGGCATTCATATAAATATAGTGGTGTGATAACTTAGTATATGTTTGACTGGCTTTGGGAATACGTCTATTTTGAATTTACAGACAAACTCCACAAGCTGCCTCTGCTTTAGATATTTAAGGGTTACCAAAAACATCTAAGAAAAATATTTATTTTAGAAGCTTAAATTTCTTGAAAACATAAATACACTACTCAAAAAATTAAAGGAACACTTTGTAATCAGAGTATAGCATCAAGTTAATTAAACTTGATTGATTTAAGTAGCAGAGGGGGTTGTTAATCAGTTTCAGTTGCTTTGGTGTTAATGAAATTAACAACAGGTGCAGTAGAGGGGAATCAACGATACGACCATCAAAACAGGAATGGTTTTACTGGTGGAGGCCCCTGACAGTTTTTCCCCTCTTCATCTTTTCTGACTCTTTTTCACCAGTTTTGCATTTGGCTAGGGTCACTTTCACTACTGCTAGCATGAGGCGCTACCTGGACCCTACAGAGGTTGTACAGGCAGTCCAACTCCTCTAGGATGGCACATCAATACGTGCCATTGCCAGAAGGTTTTTTCTGTGTCTCCCAGCACAATCTCAAGAGCATGGAGGATATTCCAGGAGACAGGCAGTTACTCCAGGAGAGCAGGACAGGGCTGTAGAAGGTCTACAACCCATCAGCAGGACTGCTATCTGCTCCTTTGTGCAAGGAGGAGCAGGAGGAGCACTGCCAGAGCCCTACAAAATGACCTCCAGCAGGCCACTGGTGTGAATGTCTCTGACCAAACAATCAGAAACGGACTTCATTAGGATGGCCTGGGGGCCCAACGTCCTATAGTGGGCCCTGTGCTCAGTGCCCGGCACCGTGGAGCTCCATTGGCATTTGCCAGAGAACACCGGAATTGGCAAGTTTGCCACTGGTGCCCTGTGGTTTTCACAGATGAGAGCAAGTTCACCCTGAGCACATGTGACAGATGCGAAAGGGTCTGGAGCAGCCGTGGAGAACATTATGACCAGTTTGGTGGAGGGTCAGTGATGGTCTGGGGAGGTATATGCATAGAGGGACGCAAAGACCTATACAGGCTAGACAACGACACCCTGACTGCCGTTAGATATCGGGATGAAAAAGTCAAGTTTCCAAGATTTGAAGACGTTTCACCACCTCTTTAAATCTTGGAAACCAAGTCCAGTGGATAGTTTTTGAATTTTTACGAAATGACTATGACCTGGATGACTGAGAACCTTCATCAGCAATTAACCTAATAGTCATGTTTTTGGACTGCTGGAGGAAGCCGGGGTACCAAGGGAGAACCCATGCTTGCTCAGGGAGAACATGCAAACTCCATGCAGAAAGACCTTGGGGCAGGAATCCAACCCGGAACCTTCTTGCTGCAAGGCAGCAGTGCTACCCTGTGCTCCACTGAGCAGCCCACCTGCATAAATATCTGTGGATATTATAGCATTTCCTTCAGGGTATTTCTAATCACCTAACTTTATGTTTCAATAAATGCAGGAAAGCTTTTGTTTTCAGAAATCCACTTATTGCCCACTTATATCGCTGCGTTAAGATCACTTTGGTCTCCATTCAAATCCTATCATACGACTGCATATCAGCCATCCGACCCATTTTCTAAAAGTTTCACCCCAAGATGGTTAGATTATCAATGAGGACAGAAAATGATGTTTTAGCAAAAACAGCTGTGCCGTGATGTTATTGCTGACTTTACTCATAATAAATGGCATCTTTTGGTCTTTCACAAAACGTGTTATTTCTTTACTTCCGACCCCTCTTAAAACTGTGGTTAATTCTGATAACAGCTTTGGCATTCATTCATAAAATTAGTCACTAGTATTATGTAGATTGTTTTTATACAGTCCAGAAGCTCCTTTTAAATCATAAAGATATTTGTTTTTCCAAAGCAGTAATATTGAACGTTTTTATCATCATAAAACATTGTTTGATGCACATATCAAAATGAGGACAGAGCCAAGAAATAGGCTACATGATAAAACAAGAGTAGCAATAAATAAAAGTAGGCCATGGGCCAAATAGAAAAATCAAACCCAGATATATTAAATAAATTATATTTAGATTTATTTCCTTTGGTTCTTTGAGAAAATACTGTCATACATTTTTTTTAACATGTAGCTATACAGTTTGTAAGAAAAAACTATTTCAGTTTAGAATAACATCAAAAAGATGAAGTTTGTTGCATGGAAATGAATGAATAATAATTTAATCACATTTCTGTAAGAAAAAAACAACAAAAAACACATGTTTGCTATGCAATATAACAGATGGACTGGGAAGATGAAAAGTATTGAGGCCTTATGGCTCCTCCTGAGGGCCTTACGTCAGTGTCCTTATCTGTGTCCCTACAGCATGCATTAGAGTGCAATTCACACGTGCTGCATCTGGCGGTGTCGTCTACATTCAAACGACACAAGAAATATGTGAAAAGTCATTTAAAAATTATTTATTTTTTATGGTTTAAACTTTCTGACCTAAATGATCAACATTGAATTTTTTCATTGTTATTAGTGGATCACAGGTAATAGGTGCAGGCAGGCAATATCCTCAGTAATAAAGGTGTTCATTTTATGATCTTATCTCATTCATCTCTTAAGTTTGAGCTACTTCTTTTTGCTCTGCTTGAACCTTTATGCAGCTGATGGTCCAACAAACTCTCTATTGTTAAAGGTTTCTCCCTTTTCGACATTAGAAAATAGAAAAAGGTTGATGCTGACGTCCTGCAGGGTTGATGTTCTGCTCTTCTAGATCCAATCAGACCATCTTTTGAAAAACTGTTGGTAACATTTCACTTCATGTCAACATTAGAGAGGGGCACATGGCCTGGAAAGTTCCCATTATGAGATATGGATGCATTTCAAAGCTAAAGCACGATAGTGGTTCTGCATGTAGCATCAGTACGGACCCCCGCTGTGACTGCTTATGATGCCAGGAAAAAAAAAAAAAAAATGGTTTTCCTTCTTGTAAAGCACGTTTTTATTCTCTCATCTTTAAGTTGTGGCTGCTGATTCAATCCCAGTTAAAACAATTCAGTAAAATTGCTGTTTTGATCGGAATGGGAAGCTTTCCCCTTAAATGCGACCTCAGGGACATGTTAGTATCTATCCAGCTTCTTCTTACCCACCTATGCGTTCGAATATTGTGTTTTTAGACCAAACTAAAGTCATTCAAACAGAAAGCTAACACCTGATAGTGGTTCAAGTCAAATGATTTTGGTCTAATGAGTTTTCTTTAAACTGTCCTGATTTAAGGCTTGTGCATTAATTTCTACGTCTTGTATCTGGATGGGAAAACAAACAGTAGCTGTAAATGCCTGGTTATAAGCTCAGGAACTAGAGATTGGCATAATTTCATATAGTCTTTCTTATGATGCAAACACATTACATTGTATATTCTTTTTTCTTTTTCAGTTTATAAACCTTCAATATTTATTGGCCTGGGTTAGCATTTTATATAAAACAGTGGTGGGCGGTCAGGTCAATCAGAAACACTAACCTACATTCACAAACTAAACTTAAATTTTTCTTCTATCCAACTGTATTAATAGATTCCAAACAATTCATTCACTTAATTTTGTAGCGCTTCTCTTGACTGCGCTGCTGCCATTACATTTATATGGTTGCTATATACGTATGTGTACAATCAGATTTCAGCCTTAGTTTGTTGCTCTGTCAATCAAATCAGCATAGGGCCTGCTGAATCAGCAGTACCGGCTGATGTTATCTTAAAGGTATTGTGAAGGATTTTAGCAAATTCTTTAAAAGACCTGCCCTGTCCCCTTGTGTGCTCAATCCTGTACCCGGTCCTGAGAGGGAACGCCTATTGAACGCGTACGAGGGCATGCACAAGGAAATTTCTCCACGTCCATGCTCTGTTTAAAAGTTGCTGTTCTCATAGATCATACAAGCTTACTGTGCCTGAATGTCCACCCTAACCTGTACATCTTTCAATCACTATATAGAGAGGGGACTATATAGTGGAATTTATAGTGAACTCAGTTAATTGACCATTCAGACAGATGATCACTGCTCTTTGCTCCCCTTTGGTCATGTAACTCCTCCTCTATCACTCGGAGCCTGCGCCATCTTTGTTATCAGTTGCGGCTGGCCGGTAACGACAGAGGGCCGCTGAGACAGCAAATCCCAGGAGGAGAGCTCTCCTCGCAAAGTATTCGCTCTTCTGAGGCCTTCTTCTCATACACTTCGTAGACACTTTTTCTCTTTTTGGTCTTTTTTGGTCATTTTAAAAGAACAAAGAAGAAAAGTGAGCTTCAATGACTGAAACCGTA